CACTTGTCTGGCGGCACTCTGCACCAGCAGATCCAGATGCTCTCCAACAGCCTCCCATCTGAGCTCCAGCGGCAGAACGACCGGCAGGGTCGCCTGCTGTAGGTAGTGACGATGGGGAGACAGTCCTCAGACAGCCAGCGCTTGCGCTGCAAGTTTGAGCTCGGCTACCACTTGCCCGTGCGCGGCGAGCGGTGGCTGCCCATCGAAGACGGGCGAACGCAGTTCACGAGCTGCAGTGGCACGATGCGGGGGCGCCGGGCAAGCCCCCAGCTCCCCGCCCTAGCTGGCGAAGGCGATCTCGAAGGGAGCCGCGCGCACGCAGCGGGCGGCAGTACCTGCGGCGCTGCGGGCGCTGCTACAGGCGGCGGCGCCGACGGCAATGCCTGCGGCGCCGCCAGCGCCGCCGGCGGCGACGGAGGCGCGGCTGCGGCAGGGGGCGCTGCTGCAGCTGCGCCCGCGCCGCCGCCGCCTGCGGCGTCGGCGACGCCGGGGGCCTCGGCGCTTGATCTGCTGGGCCTGCTGGACATGAGGGGCGCGCGGCAAAAGCTGGAGGCGAAGATTGCGAAAGCGAAAGCGAAAATGGAGGAGGGGGGCTCGGCGGCGAGGGCGAAAGTGGACGGGGGGGGGAGAAGGCGAAGGCAAAGGGAAGCGCGGCGACGAGCGAGGAGGCAACTGCGGCCGCAGCGACCAAGAGCACGCATCGAAGCAAGGCGACGAGCAGGGAGGCAACTGCAGCGGCAGCGGCCCAGGGAAAGACTCAAGGGGCGTCGAAGGATCAAAGAGAGCCCATCATCAAGACACCTGGCAAGCCGGCCAAGGCCAAGGGCAAGCAGCAGACCCCTGTCAAGTCTGTCATGCCTACTGAAGTGGCACAGCACCTGCGGGGACAAAGGTGCTGCCCCTCGAGCCAGAGAAGGGCGGGGAATCCGAAGTCGCTTGCCAAGGCGCTTTTCCAAGTGGAGACTTCGAAGAGCAACGCGCAAGCGCGCGACCCGAAGAAGGGCGGGGGGGTCCTGCGCGAGGACTTCAAATCAAAATGCCCTTCGGCAGGCCGCAAGTTCAACGCGTTGGCCGAGGCGCAGACGGCAGCGAAGAAGCGGATGGCAGATGGGCGCAAGTGATCTGGCCCGCCTGCCCCTCAGACTCGAGCAACGCTGTCGTTCCGATTGATCGGGCGGCCGCGTAAGCAGCACGATCGCAAGGCAAACCGCGTTCAGCGCAGCATTGCAAGGGTTGACGGTTGGATGAAGTCATAGAACTTTTCTGCATCCCAAAAGAATTGGACCCAATGGATGATCAGGGGCCCCCGCGCTTCCGCTTTCAAGCGTGGCCACGCTAGTTGCTCTTCAACCTTTTTGTAAGATTTCCACTATCATAAATGTCGCAGCTCTCGGGAGGTGAAGCCACTCTTTCCATGGGTCAGCACCAAGCCCCGCGTGGGCCTTGAAATACCTCATGCCCCCTGCCATGTTCTCAAAGGTCAGCTCGGGGAGGGGGTTGTCCTGCTGCTGCCCCCTGTCTCTTGCCCTGAGGTTTCGCAGCCACTCGGGGCAGTGGTCCATCTCGGAGCCCGCGGTGCCCTTCCAAGGTTCAGCCCACCTGAATGGTTTTTTGTTGCACAAGATGCTTTCGGGGTCGGTGAGCTCCAGCCCATCTGGGCCAACTTCAACTCGAAGACTCGGTTCTGGATGTTCCCAGGTCCCAGTGAAACGGCGGGCCCAGCTGGCCCCGTGGTTGAGACCCTGGTTGAGGTACTTCTGGAATACTTCACCCTTCGCCTTCATGGCTGCGAGACTTACGTTCGCCAAGACCTCCTTGGCTATATTGGGCAGGAAGCGTGCCTTTTCATGGCCCCCAGGGAGCTCGGGAATCTCTGCCGGCAGGTCTCGCCCCACTTGATGTCCCCCCTCGGGCATTGCAACGAGGGTCTCGAGGTGCGTACGGTATTCAGCCCAAGCTCGTAGCCGATGGCAGATCGCTCGCTCCTGGTTCGCCCCCTCCTTCCGTTGCATAACAAATATTTCCCACATCCTGGGCCCAATGCGGCCCCAGAAGTTCACGTCCCGATTATTCCCGAAACATCCTGGCGGCCGCCCACCGAAAAGGCTCGAAACTTGGACCCGCGGGCAGTCGCCTGTTCGTTGCGCTCCCATCTCCTTCCCCGATCTGCTTAAAAGAGAACTTTCCGCCTGGTGCGAGAAGGCCTGATGCGTCTGAGAGCGGGGCGCGCTGGCGGCATCCTCCCAGACGCTGGAATCCTGCGGGCAGTCTGGAGCGCCATGTTCTGCAAAATTTCCACGCGGTAAGTCTGGGCCAGGGGCGACTTGTGCAATTGGCGCCACTGGCATCAACATGCGTGCTTGAAGAAGCTCACGATGCATCTTTAGTTCTCCTCGTGGGCCGATGCGCGGGGACCACCAGCTCTTCAAGTCATATTGTAATGCGACCACGCCTGCCATCTCCTCCGAAGCCACTGCAAAGTCCAGGAGGCGACCATGTCCACTGGCACTTGCGAGAGCAGCTGGAGCCGCAACGATGGAGCCCCGGACAAATGACGGCCATACGGAATCCCATAATTGTTGTGGCGTCGCATTCCAGTCCCCTATAACAACGCATGCGTTGGCATTTGTTCTGGTAGACCGTGCCAATTCTGAGAGGATCCGTCCACTGGCGCCCCCAATGCCTTCGTTGTCGTTTAAGGTAAATTGAAATAAACGCGATATCCATCCCATGGCGTCGCAATGCCCTGGCCGTCCATTGCGTTCCGTAGTGCTGAGGGTTGCCCGTTGCGTCCATTCTGCACGGGTAGGGAGTTCTCGAGGCTACATTGTTTTTGGCCATTACCCAAACTCCGCCATGCCCCAAACGCCCATCAGTAGCTGTAGGCACTGCTGGGCTGGCCGCGCATGTCCATCCTGACTTGTTGAGTTGTTTGTGCCTGCAGTAGTTGTCCATCCCGCAGATGGATCTCTGTTCCCAGATGTACGTCAATGTCGCCCATGTGTGCCGTATGTAGGTATTTGAAGCCCCGGTCAGTCCACCGTGTGTAGTTCGCCGCATAGGAAGCAACGTTGTTCGTCTTCATCATCACATTCGTCTCCTCCATCACTGTGCCCTTGTGGCTACCCTGCTTGTCACTCATGTAATGCTGGCTCTCTGGCTTGCTGATGACACTCATGATGCGGTTCTGCTTCTCTGCTTTGATGATGTGATCTGGATCCTTTGTCATGAAATCGCCGCTGTTGTTCTGCTTCCTCTGGTAACCCTTATTGCGGCGCTGGCTGCTACCCACGCGCATGCTTTCTTTCCTCCGGCCTGGACCTGCTCGCCGCCAGCATCTGGTTAATTTCCTCATGTGTTGCCGTCGGCGGCGTTTGTGTCTCTTCTGATCGAGTTCCTGCTGAGGGGCTCCTTCCTGGTGGGGAATTCCCTTGAGGTTGACCTGATTCTGGTTCCCGAAGTTGTCCTGCTGCGCTGGGTCTCGTCTCGGTTCGACGTCTTTGTTGCCAGCTTTGTCCTGCGCTTCCCCATGATGCGCCGCCGTTCCACCAAGTCCTTCGCCGACGGCCCCATTGCTTTGCCGACGAGAGAACACACTTCCTCGAGGCGCTCCCGTTTGTGAATTTCCCATTCGCTCTCATCCAGCTTGAAGACGTCGCCATCGTCAAAGGCGGCGATCACGTTCTCAATGTCCCCGTCCAGCTGGACCCCCAAGATGCTGGACAGGATATTCGCTTTAGTTGGTTGGGTAGTGTATTATTCCTGTTTGTCCGCCAGTGACTATTTGAGGGACTGTTGGCGTCGTTGTGGTGCCTCCACAGCTGCCTTTGTTTTTGCCGCGCATTCAGCCGCCGCCTTGTCGAGCCGCTCCGGGCAATTGGGCCGGCGCGTGGCCGCTGCTTCCAAAGCTTCGCGTGTCTGGCGAGCCTGGATGCCTGCGTGATGTAGATTTTGCTCTTGTTCGATCTCAGGGCGGAGCTTGCCTTTCTTGTCCTGTTTGGTCCTCGCCTGGTCGAAAGTCCTGGCGAGCGCCTTAAGGTGCTGTTGGCCTTCATCGTTTGCCTCCGCGCCATCTGTTGGAAGTCGTTGTGCCAGCGCTTTAAGAAGGTCTTCCGTTGATGTGGCAAAAGGCGAATTGGCGTCCAGCACTGGTGGATGCTCACGTCCGCCTCCTGCGAAAAGGTGTACATCCTTTCGCTCCGTTGTCACGATGCTGCCACAAGGAACGGGGTGGGCCACGTTGCCATTCCCCTCGAGCCAAAGTGCCTTGCCACTGTGCGGGTTTGAGTAGCCCGCTGCACTTCCAACACCTCGTGTGGGACCTCCAGTCCGACTGGTTGCGGCAAGAAGGATGAGGGCACGCAACATAGCCTGCCAGCATGACCATCTGTGCGTGGTGTATGCGGCGTCCGCGGCTTGGGCAGCCGTCGAAAGAAAGTCCTCCTCCAGGATGAGAAAGAAACCTTTCGGCCCTGATGGCCGTGGGTTCGCAGGCGGGGGCGCACCTCCCCCACGCCAAACTGCCTCGTCCTGTGCCAAAGCACTACGAATTTGAGCCACAATGGCTACGGTCCTTCTCCTCCTCCTCCTTCTCCTCCTCTTCCCTCTTCCTCCTCCTCGGTCCTCCTACGGCGGCGGCCACTCTGCCCGCGCGGGGCTTGCGGACCCGTGGGGCAGGGAGGGTCTTCTCGGGCCCGAAAGCGCCGCCGCGCCAGCCGTGGCGGCCCGGTCCGACGGCCAGGGTGCCGGGCTGTAGGCCTTCCGCCTCCTGGAGAGGGTGCTCTGAGCCTTGGGCCTCGGGCCCCTCTCGCCGGCGGGCGCGGCCCCGGCCTCCGCCGCGGCGGAGGCGGCCCCGGCCTCGCAAGACGAGCCCGTGCCCGCAGCGCCCTGGGCCGCCCGCAGCGTCGGGGGCGGGCCGTCGCCACCCGCGGCCGCGGAGGCCTCCGAGCGCACCGCCGCCCCCGCGCCAACCAGGGCCGCCGCGGCGAGGGCCTGCGGCGCCCCTTGCGCGCAGACGGCCCTCGCCGCGGGCTCTCGTGGCATAAGCGGCGGCGGCGCCCTGGCCCGCCGCGCCGCGCCCAGCGCGTCCTGCGCCGCCAGCAGCGCCAACCGCAGCTCCGCCTCCGCCCGCGCGGCGGCCTCCACCTCGTCGCGCCACCGCTCCGACAACTCGCGCGCCTCCTCCCGGGCGCCCGCCAGCTCCTGCGCGGCGCGCTCGCAGAGGGCCTGCCAGCGCTCCGCCTCCTGCTGGCCCGCGGGGCAGGGCCTCCGCCGCCTGGCCTCTGCCAGCCTGGCCCGCTCCTCCTCGGCCGTCAGCTCCCTCACGCAGGCGGCGCCAGCGTCGAAGGACGCCACCAGCAGGCGTGGCCCCTGCAGCGGCGGGGCCTGGAGCACCCGGTTGGGGCCCTGCTCCCACCGCGCCTTCTCCTCCTCTCCGATGCGGACGAACTTGTAGTCCAGCCGGTCATTGACGTCCGAGAGGTCGACGGGCTCCACCTTCATGGTGGTCAGTGGGGGTGGTCCTTGGCCCAGCTACCCGCGCCATGCTCGAGACGATCCGAAGCCAGCCGAGGCCCCCTGAGGCTATCCGAAGCTGTTCGAGGCCCCCCCGGAGGCCGTCTGACCGCCTAGAATGAGCACCCGGGACAGAGGCGCCCCCCCCACCGGTTTCACACAACCCACCGTCTCCCAGGCTGAGCCGCTCCACTCCAAGCAGAGGCCTTGGCTGGGGTCCCACCACCCCAGGGAAGCCGGGTGTTGCCAGCGGTGGCCCTGGACCAAGAAGCCCCCAGCTTTGTGTAGTGCTCTGGAGCTTCGTGAAGGGTGCCATGGAAACCTCCTCGTGCATCCCCTGAGACCCGACGTCGCCGTAAAAAAATAAACAGCTCCCAGAAAAACACCATAGCCTTGGGCCCTGTCATTCTGCTCCATTTTGCAATTTGTATCCACCTGTGATGGTCCCAGTGCCCGACACCAGGCGAAAACGCCCGCCTGGGAAAAATGCGACGCCAAGATCTCAGGGTCCCTGAAAAGGCCTCTGCCCCCTAGTGGTTCTTGGAAACTGCAGGGCCGTTTCTACCGCTTCCAAACATTAGTATTCTTGATCATGCAAGCGATTGAACGAATCGCCGCTACTGAAAAAACTGCTCCAGGATTCAAGCTGGAGCCAGAACCAAACAACATACACGGCGACGGAGCTGCAGAAACAAACGGCGCTGGAACCAGGACAAACAGCAAAGCGAAACGGGGAAAAACGGCCCTATTGCTTCCAGCCCCCTCGAGCCCCAGAAATCCCGTCCCTTTCCCCAGGGTTGGCTTTCTTCACCCTGCGCGGTTGTTCCATACCGTCCAGGGTCAGGCTTGGGCCCCCAGAGGCCGAGAACGGCGAAACACCTCCGCTCTGATTCTTCCCAGTCAACCTATTCTTGGGTCCTCGTTCTAACAAGACAGCGCCACGCATCTCCTCCTCCTCCTCCTCCTCCGCCTCCTCCTCCTCCTCCCACCCTTGCCTCTGCCCTCTGCGTGTCCACAATGCCAGCGCACACAGTCCGGCGCTTCGTGGCCCCACAGGCCTTGGGGAGCTCCACCGAAGGCCACAGTCGATGTGATCGCATGAGTCTCCGCCACCCATTTTGGCACACCCCTCACACGCTTCGTGGCCCCATTGGGAGCTCCACCGAAGGCCCCAGTGGCTGTGATCACATGCGTCCCGGCCACCCATTTCGGCACAACCCCCGAAACGATTCGTGGCCCCATAGGGAGCTCCACCGAAGGGCCCAATGGCTGTGATCGCATGGGCCCCCGCGACCCATGTCGGCACACCCCACAAGGGAGCTCCACCAAGGCCCCAATGGCTGTGATCAAATGCGACCCCGCGACCCATGTCTGCACACCCCTCACATGTTTCGGGGCCCCACAAGAAGCTTCAACGACGGCCCCATTGGCTATGATCACATTCGTCCCCGCCACCTATTTCGGCACACCCCTTACATGGTCCGTGGCCCCACAGGGAGCTCCACAGAAGGCCCCAATGGCTGTGATCAAATGCGACCCCGCAACCCATTTCGGCACACCCGTCACACGATTCGTGGCCCCATGGGGAGGTCCACCGAAGGGTCGACCCAGTGGTTGTGATCACATGCGCCCTCGCAACGAATTTCGGCACATCCGTCGCACGTTTCGTGGCCCCGTAGGGAGATCCACCGAAGACACCCATGTCGGCACACCCCTCACAAGCTTCGTGGCCCCATAGGGAGCTCCACCGAAGGCCCCAATGGCTTTGATCACATGCAACCCGCCACCCATGTCGGCACACCCCTCACACGTTCCGTGGCCCCACAGGGAGATCCGCCGAAGGCCGCAGTGACTGATCACATGCGTCCCCGCTAACAACTTCGGCACACCCCTCACATATTTCGTGGCCCCATACGGAGCGCCACCGAAAGTACCAAGGGCTGCATGCGTCCCCGCTACCGATTTCGGCACACCCCTCTCACGTTTCGTGGCCCCGTAGGGAGCTCCACCAGAGAGAGGATACGCAACAGTGCGGTGCTCACAATTTCATGTGGTTGGGTCGCCCGCCAGTAAAACTTTGTCAATCCGTTGGGAGTCTGGAGACGCCAAGATTTATGTTGCTCTCATTCTACCATCCCAGAAATAATTTGGAGCACCCGAAAAAGTGTCGAACAAGTGTCGAAAGAGTGTCGAAACAATGTCGGCGGACGAATGTCTCCCAGGGCCCGACGCGTGAAAACCCTCGAGTTCCGGTACTTGTTTGGTGCTCGAAATTCCTTCTGGCGATCAAGGCTAAAGTAGGTTGGAGCATCATAAGCCAAAATCTCAGGCTTCCTGGGCAGGCTCCATAGGGAGCTCCACCGGAGAGAGGACACGCAACACTGCGGTGCTCACAACTTCATGTGCTTGGGTCGCCAGCCAGTACAACTTCGTCAACCCGTTGGGGGTCTGGAGACGCCAAGATCTCAGGCTTCCTGGGCAGGCTCCTGGCCCCCTCGTCGCCCAGGGCCGCCCCCTGGCAACGCCCACGCGCGGGGTGCGAGCCGACCATGACCACGCGCTCGCGGGGAGCGCCCGCCTGCAGCTCCACGCGGAGGCCGGGCATATAGGCAGGCAGCGGACGGAGGCCGCCCGAGCGCGGCGCCGGAGCCAAGACGGCTGCGGATGTATAGATGGGACGCACAGAGACACACTAATGCTATATGTCCGCCTAGGAGGCGCGTGTCCGACCCGAACATACAGTATACCCATCTTGTAGTATATCGTTTCCCGAGCGGCGTGGCCGGAAAGCGCCCGCCACGGCGCATATGCTAGAAGAGTTCTCGATGCGCGCGTCGCCCTGGGAGGGTCGACGCACATATAGTGTAAGTATGTTGGGGTGACGCCGAATGGATGTTCTAAGATCCAGGCGTCTCAATTTTCCATACGTGGGCGCCCTCGCCCGGTTTCGCCCAGTTTCGGGCCCAGCTTGGCACGTGAAGGGAGTCCGAAAGATGGCCCGGTGCATGGGCGCTGCTCTCGTAGTTCATCTTTCTGTAGGACGCCAGTGGCGCGCGTGCTTAAAGCGTGACTTTGGAAGCAAGAGTTCTGTGGGCTCTTCGGCCTTGCGCCTTACGCCTCGGAGTCAACAGGGTGCCGCAGTCCCAGTCCCAGCTACATGGCGCCCGCACACTAAGAACAATGGCATTCTCGCATATCGGCTCCACCGCGCCGCCGCGCGTTGCAATCCTCCTCCCACCGCAAAATCCTCACTGCTACCTCCACACCCTGGCCGGCACCGTGCCGCGCCCGCCAGGCCTCTACACTCACGACGGGCAAAGCTGGGCGCCGCCTCGTCAGACAGAGGCGACGCTTGCAGGCAGCTTCCTCTCCCAGACCCGCCCTGACCTGACCTTCACCCACGGAGACACCGCGACCGCGGAATCAGCGCCAGGGCCCCACGGCCGCGGCCGGAGCAGGCCAGGCACCCTGGAGGCCTCGCTCGGTGGCGACGTGTTCGCCGGCGCCGCCCTGCTCCTCACAACGATGCTGCGAGAGTGGTCAGCGCCAGGGCCCCAAGGCCGCGGATCGACCACGCCGGCGCTCCAGAGGCGTCGCTCACGCCCACGCACGTGCCCGCGCTTGCGCCGATCTCCACCCGCACTCCGAGCACGAACCGCACGCGATGTCGTCGTGATCGCAGGCCGCGGTGTTCAGCGGGAGCCCACCTGCCACAGAGAGATCGTTGACTGTCGGCACGGAGTCCGCGTAATCGCTGGTGACCCCGTCCAGGGTGCCCGAGGACGGGCAGCTCGCGATGCTGCTGGAGCAAGACACTCCACTGGAGCAGCAGCCCCGGAAGCACATCGGTGTGCTAGGGAAGTGCTCAGAAGTGGGCGACGAGCAGCCGGATGCATCATTGCTGGTGCCGTCGTTGTACTGGCCAAGCGTACTGTACGCGAACTCGTCGATGGAATCGTCGGCACTGCAGTATCCGCCGCTATCGTCAGTGCAAACGTCTGTCCCGTATCTCCATCCCGTCGCCGTGCACGTCTGCATCATCGTACCATCAGGACCGCGGGAACCGATTCAACAGACAGCTGGATGGCACATGGACGTGGTACGATGGACTGGTGGCGCAAGATCCATGACCTCCGCACGGGTCAAATGTGTTGCCCTCCGCATATTTAGCCAAGGTTTGCCAGACTGTGACGGAGCCGTCGGAAGGGCCACCGTAGGGGGAGTACAGCATGGCTGCGTTGTAGAAGACGCCGACTACGCCACCCTTTGCGGAGAGATCGATGCGCGCTGAGGAAAGGGAAGAATCGGTGGCTGAACCCACATATGTAGAGCTCTCTGGGATCGTGTAGTTTCTGTCTGCATTCACTGCCGTGTTCGGATTCAAATCGTAAATGGAGTGGTTTGGGCTGATTGGTCAGCACCGTGCGCGTGGAAACAAAGACTGATTCCGTGTAGGGGTAATCAGTACAATCCTCGGCAATCTACCGCCTCTCCGCGCCAAGCCAACACAACCACGACTGATACCGATACCGCGACCACCGCCATGGCATGACTGCAGTGCTCCCGCAAAAATGAGATCGCTGATTCAAGCAAGGGCCGGCGAGCTCTGCCTCGCCGCAACTCACAGCGCGGGCGCAGCTCGAGCCAAAATGGCCAGGGAGGCGGTGTTCTCTTACCTTAGGGCCCTCTCAGGGCGGTCTTGGGGGCCTTCCCCAGGACCCTGGCCTCGCATTCTTGGGAGGGCAGCGGGCGAGCTTCCCTACTTTGGGCCCCAGGGCCTGCGCGGATCGGTCCGGCTCGAAGATCTCCGCGACGTCGGAGCTCCCGGGAGACAATCCAGGCTGAGCAGGGCAGTCTCCAAGAGCACCTGGAAGAAAAAGCCGGCCATGAAAAATATCACAGTGTGTTCCAGCTGCGATGTCTGGAATCGGTGATTCACATCCGCGGCCCGCAGCCTGCTGGAGGGTGTTGGCAGCCAAATGTTTGAGCACTGACTGGTCCCTCCACAAAATTTCCGGTGGCCTCTGGGCCAACCCGCTAGGCAGCCCAAAAGTCCACGATGTTCGCCTCACGACGCCTACCATGGACTCCAAGATGGCCCAAGACGTCGAAGACCGCCTCCAAGATGGCCTGAAATGGCCCCAAGATGGCCCCGAGTGTCCAAGAGACTCTTTGGGGGCCTCTTCAGCCGTCTTGCGAGGCCTCAAGGTCGGCCCAAAAGGCCGAAGCCATTGAGAATAATGATCCGCATTCATATCCTGTACATTCATGGTTTTAGATATATAGATATGCGCATATGAACGATTGGGTGTCTATGTATACAGATAGATATAGTCATGCATCTATATATATATACATACATAGATATATGTATATACGCATCACACACACCAATTAACATAGACGTTGGGATCTGGGGAAACAGGCCCCCATGACCAACCAAAGATGACCGACACACTTTGGTCACTAGGACCCCAAGACGACCCAAAGTTGCGTCAAGAGGGTCCCGAGACGGCTCACACAGGCCCTCAAGACGGCCTCCGAAGGCGCAAGGAGGTGCAACATCGTCCTCTTACGGCCCCAGAGAGCCAAAGATGAGCGCCACGACGGCCCCAGAGGGGCCCCTCCCTAGGAGTCCCCTGTCCAGTGCTACCACAATGATTTCCCTACGAGCTACGGGAAGACGCAGTCCACTAGCGCGGCCGAAACAGAGGAGACACGTCCGGGCTGCCGAAGGCCGTCGTCGTCGTCGTCGCCGTCGGGCGCCTGCTCGTTCGAGTCGTGCGGGGCCTTGACGAGCCTCTCGGCGACGGCTGGACTCTGAGGCGGCCTGCGGCAGGGGAGTGCAAGGCAAGCAGCTCGCATGAAAGGCCACCTGTCATCCAGACACGTGCCTTGCCTCTCCTCCGCATGGGGAGGGACCCATACCACCTCGCGTGGAAAAAAAGTGACGGATAAGCCTGGCAGCATTTGGCCTCCAGGGACCCCCACCAGAATCTTGAAAGACTGTTCGGACGAGGAGCCATTTTGAAGGAACGGCTGTCCAAAACCCTGTTCGGAAATGTAGTCCAGACCTCTGGAGGTTCTCGCTGTAAAAGAATCCAAACGTGTGGGGCTCGGGGAGCAAGGAGCTTGCTGCTTGAATCCAAAAATCATGACAACGCGCGGGCCCCAAACAGTGACCCTGCGCAAGAATTATATGGGGCCACGAAACGCTGCCCAGGGTGGGAGAAACGCATGCGAGAGCAACCACTGGGGCCTTCGGTGGAGCTCCCTATGGGGCCACGAAACGCTGCCCAGGGTGGGGGGAAACGCATGCGAGAGCAACCACTGGGGCCTTCGGTGGAGCTCCCCATGGGTCCACGAAACGCTGCCCAGGGTGGGGGAAACGCATGCGAGAGCAACCACTGGGGCCTTCGGTGGAGCTCCCTATGGAGCTACGAAACGCTGCCCAAGGTGGGGGAAACGCATGCGAGAGCAACCACTGGGGCCTTCGGTGGAGCTCCCTATGGGGCTACGAAACGCTGCCCAGGGTGGGGGAAACGCATGCGAGAGCAACCACTGGGGCTTCGGTGGAGCTCCCTATGGGGCCACGAAACGCTGCCCAGGGTGGGGGAAACGCTGCCTTCGGTGGAGGGGGCACGAAACGCTGCCCAGGGTGGGGGAAACGCATGCGAGAGCAACCACTGGGGTCTTCGGTGGAGCTCCCTATGGGGCCACGAAACGCTGCCCAGGGTGGGGGAAACGCATGCGAGAGCAACCACTGGGGCCTTCGGTGGAGCTCCCTATGGGGCTACGAAACGCTGCCCAGGGTGGGGGAAACGCATGCGAGAGCAACCACTGGGGCCTTCGGTGGAGCTCCCTATGGGGCTACGAAACGCTGCCCAGGGTGGGAGAAACGCATGCGAGAGCAACCACTGGGGCCTTCGGTGGAGCTCCCTATGGGCTACGAAACGTGTGAGAGGTGTGCGGAGTGCAGAGGCAAGGAGGGGGAGGAGGGAGGAGGGGGAGGAGAAGGAAGGAAGGAAGGAGGTGGGACGCCGGGCGCTGTCTCTTCAAAACGAGGACCCAACACCACAGGATGGTTGGGAATAAAAAACTCTCAGTGACAAAACTAGTTGGAAACCAATGCTGTGGCTCTGGCGCTAGAGGGAGGCGCGCCGGGACTGCATAGCGGGCAAGCGGCAAGCATCAGAAATAGTGGGTGCATGGTTTAGTAAGGGCAGCGGGTAGCATGAGCGCACATGTTCACCCGAAACGTCAATCATACCCGATATCCGAGACTCGAGCCAGGCGCGGCGAAGCCTACCATACCGCATTGTGCCGCAATTTTCTGCGAAGAAGACCACCTAGCTGGAACACTCCACGGACACTCAAGACGCAGCTGCGGGAAGCTGACGCTCCGAATCGGCGTACACAATTGCAAACCTTCTCACTGAGAAAAAGGTCACCGCCCGTGGCGTGAGCGTCGCTGGGCTACTTTTGCAGAGAACACTTCCTTCCATGCTCGTCCGCCGACAAGACCGTCACTCCGGTGCCGTAGCCCAGCCGCATCATCGTGTAATGGTCAAGCCTGCTGTGATTGCCGTTCTTGAAGCCGCACTGCCACCACCATGCATCGCAGCATCCCTCCATCCCTGGATTGTTCAGGCACATGTCCACCCGGCCCGGATGGTTTGTCGTCCAATCGCCGCTCACGTCTATGCACTTGGCATCGTCGGTCTCGACCGGCACCACCTTGAAGGACTTCGAGTGCTTGCTGATGGGGTTATCCAACGCCTTCGCATCGCTGGGATGGGGGACCGGCTGCAGCCTGTGCGGGGAGATCCACCACTGCGCCTACGGGGTGCAGCCTGTGTTTCCGCCTCCCCTTCCTCATTTTGTTCCCCGCCTGCCGCCTCCCTCCTCCTCCTCCTCCGTCGGGGTCCCGAGCGCGGCCCCCCCTCCTCCTCCTCGTCCTCCTCCTCCTCCTCCTCCTCCTCGCTGTCTTCTCTTCCTCCCCCCCCTCCTCCTCCTCCTCCTCCTCCTCCTCACTCCTCCACCCATCCGTCGGAGCGGCTTCCTGCGAATCCGTACTCGGGCCGCCCCCGCCGCGCCGGAGCGAACCCCACGCGCGATCCTTGTGTTGGCCGCCGAGGCCACGCGGCCGTCTGCCCGCAGGGCAGAAAAGGGATCCTGGACTCCAGGTCTCGGGTGAAAGCTCCGTGGCCCCAGCCACACACACACACACACACATCCTCAGGCGGCCGTCCGATCATGGTGACGGACTCGCGCGGCAGCGCGACTGGATAGTGAAACCAGCCTCGACGGACTCAGCAAGGGTGCTGATCGAACTTTCTTTGACATGCATGATCATATCGGGCTCTGTCAAAAGCACAGACCGCCATCGCCCCGCCTGTTTCCCCAACCATTTCTGATCCTTGTTGCGGACAGCTTCCTGGAGATTAGCAATAGCACCATGGGGCAAATTGTTTTGGATGAACTCCGTTTTCGTGGTCGCAGGGTCAATCTTGATGAATACCACATGCGTATTCCCGAACGACACATCGCGAGGTTCATATTGCTCGGTGTCAATGGTAGAAACGACAACAACACGCCCCAGCCCAGCCCTCTGCAATGATTTCAAGGTCGCTGTCAGTACTGTTTTTGTCAGCTCCTCTCCAGTGCATGGTGTCTCTCCAGGACCTACGGAGCACGAGCATGAGTACGGCTGAAAGGCAAGAATCCCAATCGTATCACGAAGCGGCGATGATTCAATCATCTTCACAGTGGAAATATAATTGTTCATGTGTGCGAGAAAAATGTCGTGTGTTTCTCGGCTACCCTGGCAAACCCCAGCTTGTCTCCAGTAATGGCTCAAATGTTCGACCGAAAGATCGAACCAATCCCTCGTTTGGCCAACAGGGTATCCCCATCGATTCGCTTGCCTGAAAGGTCCGAAACACCCGTCCTCCACAGTTTTGACGTCGTCGAGGTCGACCCGCATGAACAAAGAAAGGTTCATGATCCACGATGCCGAAAACAGATCATCGATATCAGTCACCTCCTTCCCGTAGTTCAGCAATTCAGGAGGGTCCACGATGAGGAACTGATTCGATAATTCCGAAGACCCCTTCCTTTTGTTCTGATAGCCAAGCATCTCCGCGCGAGGATCCCAGGGGGCTGCATGACTCGTGACTGTCGCTTGACTGTGAAGGGAAGCGCACGTAACAAATGCATTCACGAGAAGGAGTGCTCTGGTAGTCATGGAGTACACTGTGCAGATCTGACCTCTGGCCGGTGTCGTGTACAAGCGACAGTTGCACCACAAAATGCTCGCAATTGCAAGACAGATTGTCCGCAAGAACGCTTGAGCCAGCATGGTCACGGAGGGCGGAAATGGTCTGGTGGATACATCGGGCGCCCCGTCCGTTCCAGAGCGCTCGGGAACGCTCTCGCGTCGGTTGACAACGCTCTGGACCAATGCTTCCTCATCCTACGCACGCCTGCGTGAGGATTGCTGGCCGAGGGGAAGCATGGAATGGGAGAGGGGCGGGGGGATGAGGATAGTGAGGGGTGCAGTAGGGAGAGGAAGGCGGTGAAGGGTGAAGCGAGAAGCGAAGAGGGAAAGAGAAACAGGAAGAGGCCTCCCCAACCCGTCTCCCCTGCCCCCGCCGCACTGTCGCTTGGCCTCGTTCCCGTCCCCTCCCGTCTTCCGCCCCTCTTCTCTCCCCATCACACCCCGTCATCGCTCTTCCTCCCTCCTCCCATTCACCTCCCGTCCATTTCCTCCTCTACTTCCTTTCCAATCATCCCTCTGCCTTTCCATCTCCGCTCCTCATCCACTTTTCTTCCCCTCCCCCTCTACGCTGTCCTTCCACCTCCCCTCCCACACAAAAAGCACACGTCCCGCTCCCCCTGTCCTCTGCCCGCCCATCTCACCTCTCATCCGCTCCCCCATCCTATGTTCCTCACATCGCGCGGCTCGGCTCTCCTCCTCTCTCCGCCTCCTCCTCCTCCTCCTCCTGCTCCTGCTCCTCCTCCTCCCCCTGCTCCGCCTACGCCTCCTGCCTCCTCCGGGGTTCCCTGTCCTTCCTCCCATCCTGACTCCGTATGATTATATACCCCAACTCTGCCACATCGCCGGCTGATAGCCGCCGGGTCGGGGACCCTCCGCCGTGCCTGGATATACACATGTCAAATTTGCGCATGTGTTGTCTCAACCAGAATGGCTCGTCGCCCACTCCGCAACACATTACCCGGCGGGCATGGGACGCGGCGCGCATCCCGGGCGAGGAGGCGAGATGTTGCTCTCGCCTTCGCGTCGCACTCCTTGTCCCCGAAAGCCGAGCTCCCCCCCGGGTGCGGCGCAGACCGCTCGTCCGCCGACTCGTCGACACGCGAACGGGCGAAAATAGTTAGCGTTCGTGCCTCGGCGCCGCGCGGACGTCGCCCGAGATCGGCGATCCTCGGGTCGGGCGAACGGGGGGGGGTAGCAAAGGGGGGAACAATAATCAACTCACGTAGCTGTTTTCTCCGGCGCCTCCCGGCGCCTGGAGGCGTTCACGTATTGAGGAATAGGCCTGGGGGCGGGGCCGAAGCCAGCTGCATGCAGCAGATGCCGTACCCCACCTGTGAGTAAGATGCGTTTTAGCGCAGTGGCAGAAAAAGGGGCCCCTAGAGGTCAAACGGCAACGACGGGTGCAGATATATATATATATATATATATATATATATATATATATATACATATATATATATACATACACGTGACACATGCACTACCTCACGCCCGTGAAACTTTTCCACTAGCTAGCCGGCAGACCGCGCAGTACCGCTGGTCTCAGTAAG